TTGCATCAGATAGCCCCAAAAAATTTCTGTGATAGAATATTACACATTGCTACTAAAATTCAGTATTGACACCCTATGGGCCAGATAATGAAAAGAATTTGCAAGAAAGGGAACAGATCATCTTTGCTGTCATTTTTATGCTCACTGCTAGGAGATATTTATAGTTGTGGTATGCTTGAGCATGCTCATGAAAACCAAATTACAATTGTTATGCTAAGAAAAGTTATTTTCCTCACACATAAAAAATGTAATAAGCGAGGCATTGCATCACATAGGCCCAGAAAATTTTTGTGATAGAATATAATACTTTACTACTAAAATTTATTACTCATATCCCTTGGGGCATTCAATGAAAAAATATTGTAATAAAAGGCACAAATCATTTTTGTCATCGTCTTTATGCTCAATGCTAGGAGATATGTGTAGTTGTGGTCTGTTTGAGCATGCTCACGTAAACCAAATTGCAAATGTTATGAAAGGAAAGAAATTTTTCTCACACATAAACACACTCTATTAAGTGAGGCATTGCATCAGATAGCCCCAGAAAATTTGCTTGATAGAGTATTATGCATTGCTACTGAAATTTAATACTGATACCCTTGAGACATATAATTAAAAAAAATGTAAGAAAGGGCACAAACCATCTTTGCCATCATCTTTATGCTCCTTCTAGGAGACATGTATAGTTTTGGTATGTTTAAGCATGCTCATTCAAACTTAATCTGAAAACTGATGCTAAGAAAAGCACTTTTTATCACACATACACTCTCTGAAGTGAGGCATTGCATCAGAAAGCCCTAGCAAATTTTTGTGATAAAATATTATGCATGGCTATTGAAATTCAGTTTGATACCCCTTGGAGAATATAATTAAAAAAATTTGTAATAAATGACACTGACTATCTTTGTCATCATCTTTATGCTCATTGCTAGAAGGCATGTAAGGTTTTGGTATGTTTAGGCATGCTCATTCAAACCTAATATGAAAATTTATGTTAAGAAAAGCATTTTTTATCACACACACATACTCTCTGAAGTGAGGAATTATATTAGATATCCCTAGAAAATTTTAGTGATAAAATATTATGCATTGCTACTAAAATTCTGTACTTACATCCATTGGGGAATTTAATGAAAAAATATTATAAGAAAAGGCACATATCATCTTTGTCATCATCTTTATGCTCACTGCTAGGAGACATGTCTAGGAGACATGTGTGTGTAGTTGTGGTCTATTTTGGCATGCTCATGCACACCAATTCCAAATGTTATGATAAGAAAAGTATTTTTTTCCCCCCACACACACACCATCTAAAGTGAGGTGTTGCATCGTATAGGCCTATAAAATATATGTGATAGAATTTTATGCATAGCTACCAGATTGCTTCAGCATGCTCATGCAAAACCAATGTAAAAAAATGTGCTAAAAAGAAATTCTTTTTTATGTATATTTGTTTTTTCTATCATAATAACAAAATGACTAATAACAAATAGGCAGGTGTGCTCATACAGTGGGGCAAAGAAACCAAAATAGTCTTCTATGACCTTTGCCTAATCAAAATTGATATGGGATATAGGCTCACTACATATTTCAACAAGGAAATGTGGCAACGTATTATAAAAAAATTTAAGGAGAGTATAGGCAGAGAGTATGACAGGATACTATTGAAGAATAAATGAGTTCAAATCATGAAAGATTGGAAATTTTGGAAAGATATGAAATGATGATCTACGGGCTTGGGTTGGGATCTGGTGAAGTGAACCAATGATGCTCTGGAGGAGTGACGGACAAAAAGACTTGAGGTTAAGAATTTTTTCATATCCTCTAATTTGGTCAATTTCATTTTTATTTTCCAAATGAAGTGTATGTTATGATTTTGTAAGTAATGCCAGCTGCAAAAAAGTTTAAACTTTATGGACTTGCATGAGCTGGAGAAGTTGACCGGATGTTTGGGGGTGCCATTGCTACATGCAAATATGCATGCGCGCCTAGTGAGACAGTGTTTTGTGGCACCGTAGAGAGCTTAGTAGACATCCTATTAGGTGATTCAACTGCAGTACCCAACCCGGAAATCCATGAATTCGAGTACACCTACCGTTATAAGTGTTCGTGGGTAGAGAGTAAAATGAAAGGTGGAGTTGCTTTCATCAGAAATCAAATATTAAAGTTGGTAGCTTCTTTCAATGCTAAACTGCATTTAGTATAGGCACATTCAATTGAGCAGGTCATTTAAATTTTGAATGGAGAAAAGGAAATTTTTGAGGATTTGCCTCTATAGTTACTTGTGATAGAGATGCTTGAAAATCTCACATGTAGAAATTTTTTGCGAACCTAAGATAAAAGGGTGGTGTGTCTATGACATTTTTGTGATCGGAGGGACATTTGAGACAGTTTTTTTATTTTCTAGTATTTTGGACACATTTATTTATATATTTTATTATGTTATGGTTTGGTTCCTTCAACCTCTTGGAACTTTGCTAAATAATATTCAAAAATCCTCATTATTCAGATATCACAACTGATTGAGTCATGGTTTATTCATAATTTACTAATTTTTTGTGTAAACTAGTACGACATTCACTTACATGGATTCAACCAAAGAAAGACAGAGAAGGAGAGCTGCAACAATCTACTTGCTCTATGAATATTACAACATGTACATTGATCAAGCTCCATGCCTGACATTGTCATATATTAGGGATAAATGAGTTAGGGAATTGCTTGTTGGACACCCATTGAGATTCAACAACATGTTCTGCACAATATAGAAGATATTTAATGATCTTTTGGCAGAACTTAGCAGACTTCACAGACTTCATGGGTCATCAAGGATGACTCCACGAGAGGTATTGGTGATATCTCTCTACATATTATCACAGAATGAGTCAATGTGAGGAGCAATGAAATGATTTCAACACTCCTCTGAGACGATTAGTAGATACATCTCGGTGGGTTTGAATGCACGTGTGAACCTTTCTACTCAAGTCATCAAACCAACGACTCCTATGTTTGGACGGCCTCCTACCGAGATTTCACATGATGCATGGTTCATGTCGTTCTTTAAGGTAGTATTTCTAATTCATTGCATTCAATTTTAAATATGCATGTCGTGCATTGCAAACTCATTCTTATTTGAGTAGGATTGTATTGAAACAATTTATGGAACCTATGTTGATGCACGGGTTCTAAATAATGAGAAAATCACATTCATCAGATGTTGCGGGGCCCTTACGAAGAGTGTCATGGATGTTTGTGATTTCAACATGTGAGGGTAATACGCATGATAGTAGAATTTTCAAGGCTGCAATGCAAAATACCCATTACGACTTTCCACATCCTCCTCAAGGCATTCTCGAGCCTCAAATACTTTGGTGGTTCACTTTAACGTTAATATTAATTACACAATATATTTCAGACAAATATTATTTGGTAGATGTTGGATATTCGTTGCATCGAGGGTATTTCATGCCCTTTTCTGATACGAGATATCACATTTCTACTTTTGAGCGAGCCAACAATCTTACACATGAAAAAAATGAGTTATTTAATAAAAGAAATTCCTCCTTACGCAATGTCATCGAGAGGACTTTCAGTGTTTGGAAAAAGAAATGAGTTATATTCTTTGATATGCTATCTTACCAGTTTCCTAGATAGGTCCAGATTGTGATTGCCACGATGAATCTGCACAATTATGTTTGGTTTCATCCTTCCACCAACGACAATGATTTTCTTTGGGTCAATGAGAATTAGGAGCATGCACCTCCTAAAGAATTTGAGTACCACCTCATGCATTCCATGTCACGAGTTGAGAATGAACCTTCCATCACATGTACTAAAGTTGGGGAGGGTGCAAGCGAAATGACATAGCTAAGGGAACAGATTACTAATGCGTTAGTAGGAGTTTGATTGAATTATTTGTAAATTATTCAGTACTATGTGTAATTTATATCCTTTGTCAAAAAAAATTTAAAATTCTTATTGGATAGTGACCATTAAGTGTTATATTTCTTTTAGTCAAAGTAATTTTTACTTCACATTTTATATCGTCGGTTTGAAATTTATACCCTATTTGTAAGTGTAATTTGTTAATTACTTCTTTTAGCCAATTTAATTCCTGTCATCACTAATGCATTGTCTTTTGTAGCATTCAGAAAAGATAAGCTCAAGGATTTCAGGGACATCTCGACAATTGCTCTGTCACTGCAAACTACAGACTTCTCTATCGACATCACGTCGGGCCCGTAGCTACGGGAGAAAGTTCTTCAAGTGCCCGCGGAACATTGTAGAGAAGTGTGACCTCTTCTTTTTGACAGACAGTCATGTGAATTCCACTCCTACAGTGATCGGGAATGGATAACATCATTGGAGAATAATGTAGCACCGGACGTACACCGTCTGCATGCTAAAAATAATATAATCATTATATTAATTGTAATTTTAATAATTTTTGTTTTTTTATTTTTTTTGGTTCTCTTGGTACTCACTGTTAAGTGAGATATGCATTCAAATTTTTGTACTCTTCTGAATTGAATTTCCTTTTATGAATTATCAAATATATGACTGTGACAGTTCTCTTACAAATAACATTACTAAATAGGGTCAGAATGATCATTTGTCTAGAAACAATTGCCACACATTTGTTTTCAAAAAACTGAAATAAGCAGCTAGTCATTTTCCTCACACCAGCTGCAACTGCCTCAAACAGACCCTTAATGCGCGAGCCTAAATCAATAGGCCTAAGGAGCTGGGTTTGCTGAACTGATTTATGAAGCTAGTACCATCTAAGCCCATTTTATTGGCTTGGGAGGATATCCAAACGTCTGATTTTAGCTAAAAAACCGGGTTGTGCGTCGACTAACACAGAATATATATGTATATATATATAAGAACACGAATATCATGTTCAGTTGCTCATGAAAGTATTTTTTCAACTAAAATATCTTTCATGCCTTCTTTATGTAAGACCACATAGGACCAATCTTTTGCCCTCCTAGGCTTTGGTCAGGAAACCCACTCTAACCACCGCTGTTCCGCGAAGGTCACATCTAATGCATGGGCTTGAAATATGGAAACAAACCCCTTCCCCACCACTCCCTGCGCACCCGCAAAAACGAACTTTATATAAAGACCATTTGCTTATGTCCATTCCCAAACCTCTTTTGCAGCATACGAGGGAAAAAGAACTTCAGAAAAGCAATTTCTTCTAAATGGGCTCTGATCACTCCGGCATCAACAAGTGCTTGTTACAAAGCGAGGCTCTACAGAAGGTTTGCATTTTATTTTCTCCTTGACTTTTCTTCAGCCACAACTTATTAATAGACATGTCATATCTTTTGATGTAGTACATTTTTGAGACGAATGTCTATCCAAGAGAGCATAAGCTACTCAAGGAATTGAGAGAAGAAACAGAAGCTAAGATTCCTGGCAGGCAAAGATGATTTTCATTTTGTCATTTTTTTTTCTATTTTTACTTATTTAAGCAGGGATTTCTTTGAAAAGAATGATTGATTCAGATTTATTATTGTCTTTATTAAATTAAATTTTGGGGAAGGCAGGGCTTTGATGAGTGTGCCACCTGATGAAGGGCAACTTCTTTCTATACTGATCAAGGTGATGAACGCCAAAAAAACCATAGAGCTTGGTGTTTTTACTGGTTACTCCCTCCTGACTACGGCATTGGCCTTACCCAAAGATGGAAAGGTGAAGTTCTTCTTCTTCTTTCTCAGTTTTTTATTTTTATGTCCTTCACTTAAGGAAATTTGTTAGAAGTTGACAAATAATCAAATAAAAAATCGTTTGAATTAGAAAATAATTTAATTTTGTCACAAGACAAAAGTCATGAATTTGGATACTCTCTTCTTTCTACGGCTGCAAGTGTTGATATATTTGTAGTGCTAAAAGTTTGTCGCATACATATGTAATAAATGTGGTGTATTTTTATTATTTGTCCTTATGTTGGGTCATTAATTTTGTCTTACTTGAGAAATTGAGAAAATGAATCAAGAGCAGTTGACCAGGTTTTTTTTTTTTTTTTTTTCTTAAGATTATTGTTGCCTTTGGGGCGGCGGTGCAGTGGCTACAATGCAGTTTTTTTATTGAGCAAAACTTTATTTTGTTTATATATCTAAACAAACTGCAATTGAAAGCTTTGTTATACCCACTAGATCTAATACTACGTTGGCCGATTGCTAGAAAGTTATAATCTGATTTTTTTTCAAAAATTAAAAAAATAAAAAAGTGTAATAGCCATCAGAGCATTTCAAACAACAGTTTCTTGTTCAAGAGCTTCTTGAAATTACTAAAGCTGCCACAAAACAAACCTATAGTTATATAATCGACCCCATTTAGTGGGATAAAGACTTATTGTTGTTGTTATTGTATGTCATATACTCATTAGCTACTAAATGTATCAGCTCATCATATATTTGCAGAATTACAGATGAAACATTTTCAAGTTGCTAACTCAAATATGTACTTAAAATATATTTTGAGCGAGTTATATAACTGATCAACCAGGAGATTTTTAATCTTGATTCAGATAACGGCGATCGATATCGATAGATCATACTATGAGATTGGCTTACCTTTCATCCAGAAAGCTGGAGTGGAGAACAAGATTGAATTCGTTGAGTCTGAAGCTCTTCCTGCCCTTGACAAATTGGTTGAGGAGGTAAAAATTTCTTTTCCTTAATTATAAACGGCTTAATATGAATTAACTATGGATTAAGCACCAAGTGGCTCTTTAATTTCACATTTACTCTGCCTAACTAGATATATCTTTCTTTAATCTGTTTAGTTTCATTAATGAAAAACATTAGTAATATAATCTGTAAAATTTATTTACATGTCTAAAAAATCATCCTCTTGACTAACAGCAGGAACACGGACTATTTGTTGAACTTGTTTAATGTTGCATTGTTATGATTCAAGCCCGCCTGAGATTAAAACCGGCTTCCGTTCTGACTAAAATAACTGCAGGCAAAGGAAGATGATCTATTTGATTTTGCATTTGTGGATGCTGACAAGATTAACTACCACAAATACCATGAAAGGTTGCTGAAGCTCGTCAAAGTTAATGGTCTGATTCTGTATGATAACACGCTCTGGTTCGGAACCGTTACCGGCTCACCGGACCCGAAGTATCCAGAATGGATCAACCATAGCCTGGAGAGCGTCATCCGGCTAAACAAGGAGCTGGCGGCTGATCCGAGGGTTGAGCTGGCGCAGGTCTGCATTGGTGATGGACTCACAATTTGCAGGCGCCTAGGTTGAGCTAATGTTAGGGGAAATGAAAGTGCGGCATTTATTGCTTGTTGATTTGTTGTTGTCTTTTCGTAGTCTGGAGAATAACTGATGAAAATTTATATCAGATGTCCAATAACAGGGGCTTATGTGGCGATTTGGGCCCATTGACATATACGGTTCGGGCCCAGGTTGCCACATGGCAACCTGTTATTGGACTCTTGATGCAAATTTGCATCAGATGTTCTGATACAATAATTTTTCCCAATAACGTTTGCTTGCTTCAATAACAGTTCACGACATTGGTGTTGTTGATGACTTGTGTTGGTCTACATGTTATCTTTTGCCTAAGGGGTTGTTTGCTTGATGCCAGTTACAACTAATGTGCTCTAATCTCCTCAAGTTCATTGAGTTGCAATAATCTTTTCTCACCAGCATCTTTTATATAAAAGTTTATTTCCTTACATTGTGTGTTAGAAACATGGCAGTATAAGATGAATGTTGTTGTCAATTTTCTTTGTAGTCTATCGTCTAATGATGAATGCTGTAAGATTTATTCTGAAAGTTATTATAGCAAGCTTAGCGTTTAGACAGCTAATTTGATTTAAAGCTTTTAATGCAAATGAATATAGTAGCTTTTATTACTTCAAATTATAGCAAAGAGCAGATTGAAGGATTTTTTTTTGAATGAGGTCCATTTGTGAGAGTTAAGGTTTTTAGAAAGTTGATTGCGAAAGCAATTTATTTTTTTGAAGTGATTACCAAAAAAATTTATTTTTGAAAGTTGTGAGAATTATAATAACTTTTTGTTCCCACAAAAAAAAATAATAAAAAAAAATCGCACAGACACACAAGCGCACACTGTATAGCCGGCAGCCGAATGAGTGCACTCCGTTACTCTTGTAGAAGTTTGGAATATTGAGATATCTGGTGGGAAGAATTTCATATAAAGTGCAAAATTGTTGAGTAAATAGAATCATTGATTTAGTTTATCTTCAATGTATTTTAAATATATTGAATTTTGATAAATTTCAAAACTACAATTTGATGTAAAGTACTCTTGTATGGTTGTGTCAAATAGCTACTATCGCCAACTTGCAACCATCGTCGGCCGCCCACTTCCTAAAGCCCCATTGGGCAACTGTCCTTTAGCTCTCATTGGCCACCACCTCCTTGCTAGTAGTGTCATAATGTTAGGCTGCTTACTGTCATTGTTTCCCTTTGCCAACCACCCATCGCCGCCAGCCACAAGCTGCCATCTTTTGCCTACCCACCCTGAGAAGCAAACAACCATTTTCGTTTGTTAGCCACCTATTGTCGCTGGCTGCCGCCACTAAGTTCTAGTCGCTGCCACTAGCCACCTGCTAGCCTGTCCCCTAGTCTGCTGTCAACTATCTGCCCGCCTACTTTCTGTTCATTAAAGACATCGTATTTTACATTATTTTCATTTTATTTCAAATCAAATAAAAATATAAAATGTTACATTTATTTTACACTTAAACAAATAAGTTTAAAAAACGATAAAATGTCTTTATATTATATATTTATATTATACTATTTTTCAATAAAACAAATAGCTTGGCAAGTAGAAATTTGTAAAAAACAACTACTTTTTAAACAAAAAAAAAATAAAGGTATTTTAAATTTTATTGAACGACATTTAATAATGTATGAATAATATTTTAATTATTTTTTTGTGTGTGATTAGTCATGCTATAGTATTATCAAAATTCATGCCTTGATTATAGTAATTATAATTGGCTTCAAAATGGTGAGCACCCAAGTCACAATCAACTCTTTTGGAGAAAAAAACATGAAATTCTTTAAACTACTATTTCTTGAAACAAGAGCAAGTTAACCGAAGCCTCAATCACTAGACAAATATGGAGCAAAAACTCTTTTTTAGGAGACTTTCAAATTTTGGTAAATGCCACAAACCTTCATGTTGCGCACAGTAATTCACGTTAGATATGAAAGTGACAACTCGATTAGGATCTTTTTTTTTTTTCTGTGCACCGCTCCTCCCATTTCTCCTTTCTTTCTTCATCCCTAATCCTTAATTTTATTGCTATTTTTGAGCTTTTTCTGGCGGAGGGGCAGGCTTCGCCCCTCTGTCCCACGCACAATGGCCAACTTTCCTCCCTTTCCCACTTCCTTGTCTGGTTCTATTTTGGGCCTTACCTCTTCTCTCAACTGGAAGGTCTTTATAGCTTCTCATCTTCCTAGTTATAGGATTTTTAATCTCTTATATATTCCACCTTCAGAAGACTAGATTTTTTATTCTGTGGAAAAAATGGTAGGGGGATCCAAACAATGAAGTTTGGTGCTGGTTGCGTATGCTATTGGCAAGTGACCGTTCTACAGTAATCTTCTGCCAAGCATCTCTAAATTCAGGAATCTGAAAAAAGGAACGGTTGATCTTGTCCTAGTATCCAAAGTTTTTTTTTATTTAATTTTAACTTCGTGGAAGATTATGCTATGGTCTTAGAGGGAGGCCCCAATTTTTGAATGACAAACCTTTTATTTTTTCTAAAAAAGGTTCTTCCATTTCAGCTTATTAAAGAAGATTTCTTTGAAATTTCAATTTAGTTTAAACTTCCTTTTCCTTCTAGTCTGAATAACAAAGTTTAAAAATTTTGAGCAAAATCGATATTCCGTTAGCTGTAGAACCCCTTACTTCTAATGTTTCACGACTTACATTTGCTAGAGTCAACATGCAAATTCATACAAAATCTTCTCTACTTCATTCTATAAATATTTCAATTAAAGGCAAGTATATTACACCTCCAGTCATATATGAATGAAAACCTGAAATACATTAGCTCACAAAAATTTCTCTTTTCCCAAGTCACCTTTATACAGACCTCCCTCTATCTTAATTCTCTATAAAAGGAGTCGCTCTAGAATGAACTCCAAAAATCCTCCCTCTAGAAGCCACAACTCCATAGAGCTTTTCCTTTTCCCCTTATCCCTTTTCCTAACGCTCTCCATCCTTCTATCCCTCTCACCTCTATATCAGCACTAGATCTTAATGGCTTGCCCACCATAACATACATTAGCAATTCTTCTTCTTCTTTTTCCCGAAAAAAGTTCCTCTTCTTGATTCTCTACCAGCAAACACCTCCTTTGAGCCCGCAATATCGTTTAATGGGGCACACCTATTTTTAAAGGCAATCAAACCCCAACCTCATCCTCCTATTTCTAATAATCTAACAACCTAACCCTTTCCCATACAAATATTCCTTCTTCTTATTTCTTCTTTCCCCTTAAACTCACTTAGATTAAGAAACGAAGGCAAAAGGGTAATGAACTCTTGTACAAAAAATTTATATATATATATATATATATATATATCAAAAATTACCAGTTTGAAATGTAAGGGAATACAATAGTGATATACGAATTACTGACAGCAGGAAACTAGCTAAAGATAAAAAGATTGACCTAATGTGCTTATTGGAAACAAAGATTTCTTATTCTATCATACCAAATATTTCCTCCATCAAGCATTATTTTCAGTGCAAATTTTAGACTTCCCCTAATGGGCGTATATGGATCAAGTGGAACCCTGCTTTTATTGGTTTTAATGCTTTGGACATTCAACAACAATGCATTCATGGAACTTTCACCTTCTCCACTTCAGTTTGTTTCTTTATAACTTTTATCTACGCAAGTTACAGTGCTACAAGAAAGAGAGAGCTATGTCATGCTCTCTTGTCTCTCATCAATTCTATATCTCAAACTTGGATTGTACCTTGATGTATGCTCATGGCTGATGATATCCTGTTTTGCGGATAAAACTACTGAATGATTTTAAGAAAAACTTGAATTATTAAGGTCAGCACTAGAGTCCAAAGCCCATCATTTGAGTATATCTAAAACTGAATATATGAAATTTAATTTTAGTAGTAGTAGCTCTAGTGGCCGAGTAATAACAATGGGTGATCAATTCATTAAAAGGTATGAATGTTTTAGATATCTCACATCTATTGTTCAAAGTGATGATGATATAGATGGGGAAGTTGCTAGTAGAATTCAAGTTGATTAGTTGAAGTTGAGGAATGCATCCTGCTTATTGCGATAGAAAAGTACCACTTAGACTTAAAGGAAGATTTTATAAGATGATTGTGAGACCTGTAATGCTCTAAAGTATAAAAGGTTAGCCTTTAAAAAGAAGCATAAGTATAGTTAAGTGTAGCTGAGATGAGAATGCTTAAGCAGATGAGTGAATTGACACTTAGTGGTATAATGCGAAATAAATATATTTGTCTTATGGTTGGTGTTGCTCTAGTGGTAGATAAGGTTAGAGACACTCGTCTTAGATGGTTTGGTCACATTAAATTTCAACCTTCTGATGATCCAATTAGGGGAGTAGATGTTTCAGATTGGACATATGTTAAGAATGACAGAGGTAGAAAAAAAAATACTTTGGCATATTGTACAAAAATGATCTCAATCTATCAGAAGTAAATGAAATGTGACACAAAACAGGACACAATGAAAAAAAATATTCATTTTAGTGGGATAAAAGCTTGTTGTTGTTATTTATAACCTTGGATTGTTGTTGGAGACTTCAATTTTCTTTTAGAAAATGGAGATATCCAGCAAAATGGCTTACTTCAATAATTGAATTTTTAATACTATTCAAATAGGATTGTTTAATCATAACCTCTATGATAGTCGGTTTAATTAGCAAACTCACAATCCTATAAGATGTTTGTTGGCATCTTCTTTTTATGTAAAAAGTGTAGGGTGCACTTGCTGATACACCTTAAAATATGTTTATTTTCCTTATAAATTTTATGCTTATTTTTAATGATGTTGTATTTTATTGGAAGGTACTTTGCAAGTTTTTGGTTTCAGGTACAAGAGATGGAGTTTTGTCGAAAAAGAGAAAAAACGGAGCAAGACGCTTATTTCTCAATTGGTTCCTAGGCATTAGCTTCTAGTTCCTAGGAGCCAGAAGACGGAGACTTCAACGCCATAGCACCAAGATTTGACGCTTAAGTGTCAGTCAGTTATTCAGGGCTTCTAGAAGGGTGGTGCTTAGGCGCCACAGTTGGGCGTCTAGACGCTAGAATCAGTTTTCTTCAATATGCATTAAATTTGGACAAATTTTGAAGGGGCATCTGAAGTAACTCTTGGAGATTTTGTGAGTTATCATAAAAGGAGTCAAAAGAAGTCAGAAAGGAGAGCTTGAAGAGAGGGTGGCGTGAGGTCTTTGTGTGTGTTTGTGTGTGTGTGTGTGTGGAGACTTTTATTAAGCTTTCAGTGAGAGTCTTTGTTTTTTGTGTCTCTTGGAGTGAATTTTAAGGAGAGTTTGTAGAATACTTCAAAGGAATTTCAGAGGATTTTCTTAAAGAGAAGTAGAAGCTAAGTAATTTATATTTTTCTTAGTTTTGTTTATTGTGTGAACCTGAATTTTAATATAAATCATGTTT